TTGCCGATGAAAGTTTTGTAATTTGAGCATTAATGAAAATACAAAAGATATCAGATTGGAGAGTCCTCTACCCCTCCACTGTTTCAATTTTGTCACATAATTATTGTGGGCGGTAAGTAGATTAGCAGAGCTCACCGCGAATTCGTCACGTTTGATAGTTACTTTCGTATAACGTTTGTGACACATCTTCAGATGTACAACACAAGCTATGTGTTCGGAATCACTGTAAAAAAAGTGGCTCCACAATGCGTCAATAAACGACTGAAGAAGCACTGTTGTCCTCGAAAACTGCTTCTTCGTTCGGTTGTTAACGTGCTATCTTATACCATCAAGTCTGTCATCAAGTGATAATTTGCTAGAAATAACCATGCCGTTCTTAAGATTGATATCGAGTAGTTGATGCTTCGAAACTTTTATGAAATAAGACGCAAACATTCGTGTAATAGAACAATTACAAAGTGATCAATATCGCTCAGGAACACCATTGCAATTAATGTTATAAGTGAAACGACGAAATTCTTGCACGCAATTCATAATTTCATTTCTCATACGCAGATAATATCACAACTAAATTTGACATCATCGAAATAAATAAAATTGAAATTAACGCCCATATAATTAATAAAGTGATAAATTCAAACGCAGTATATGAATTCATTCATAACGTAACTAAACAAAGAACCTTCAAAACCAATGAATCAACATCGATACGATAAAATGTACTGAAAAATAGCCACAACCTGATATATTCACGTGATTGAGAAGTACACAAATTTATTTCCACAAAAATTCGACCATAATGAAAAATTATCAAATTAACCAAATTTAAAAAAAATAAATGCGATATGATAGAATAGTAATAAACCTCACAATATAGATGAGATCAAGGTAATGAATATGAGGAAATAAATGAGAATATGAATGAATATCCGAAGACAACTGGATATCAAAAGGCAACAGTTGAGCAAGCGAAGAAATAGCTGAGACAATGTCGAAACTCAAACGATTCTCATCCAGAACTCATCCAGTGATCAACCAAAGGTTTATGAAGGCAATCAAGAATGGTGTAAAATTATTCGTCTGTTCGACAGTGGCAGGCAAGAATAAAACGTCAATATGCACCGCAATAAGACCGGCAAATTCGTGCATATTAAACAGTACCGATAATAAATAATAATGCACCACTAAACAAATTGCAATAACTGCAACTGATTCCCAGAAATACTGACTTAAATACAACTCATATATACATATCATTTTGAATACGTATCGAATGAACGAGTGAACAACTGAAAATGCTCGGAACGAATCGCCAGCAAACGGCAGTATGCATCAACGATGAAAGCAAAAATGACCACACGAATTCAACACAATCAAAAACACGTTCAAAAATGATACAAAAGAAAACGCACGCTCTGTTCTGAATCATTTTCGAATTCATCAATGATATTTGGTATCTGCACCGAATTAAACAAGAATGTTATGAAATAGCTCTTAACTAGTTTAAATCATATGATTGTAATTAATTTATGTGTACTTCATTAAAGCATAGTCGAGGGAAGATTTTAAAAAAAGAAACAGAACATTTTAAGGAACAAAATTTCATGACGATGGAAAAAATCCGTTTGACCAACTCTCATGAACGATATCCTAATCTTAACAACGCCCCGTGCCGACGTACTCTGCTAAATGCTTGACGAAGAATCTTGTCGAAATTTTCAGCATATTGATCACACTCGAAATCGTGACTTTGTGTTCGCCTTTCAGCTTCTTTCTGCCACTCGATAACTGAAGCAATACAACGATAAATATGTAAATTCATAAACCGTTGAAAACTTCGATTAAAACGGGAAAGGAAAGATGGTTTTCGTTTAGAGGAAGGGATTTAGTTTTTCTTACAATCGGACGTTTAACTTGAAAAAACAAATATAAGATGACGGTAATACACAGCTCATAAAAGATCAACTTCCACTGAAGGTATTTCACTAAGCCGATACGGCCATAATTCGGAGAATCAGGAACAAGTAGAGCACGTTACCTATTATCTTATATACATTCTAAAAAAGAGATTCTAAACAATTTGACATAATTTCAAAAGTGAATATTAACAAAATTTTAGCAAATAAATAAAAAATCATTCATACTCTTCCTGAAGTAATCCGAAATTGATTGTGCTGAAACAACTATCCTTAATGTCCTAATAAATTGAAAAAAGAAATAAGCTTTTTTGAAATATCAGAACGAAAAATTGCACAAACATCTTGCGTCGAAATTCGTAGAAGGTCGCTTCGAATTCGTTCTCTCGTGATCGACAATCGCTACTTGATAGTTGTTTTGAACCTGAAATTTGCGAAATATTCATTCGAATTGCCCTCAGAGAGACAGAAATCCGCTAATCAATTCGTGAATAGCTTGGTCGCTATATCCTAATAAAAAACTGAATTAGACATTTTCGAAATGCTGGTCATGAAATACCGTCAGTTAAATTTCAGTGATTGTTTTTAATCCATTGCAACTATGATAAATAAATATACGCGCAATGATAAGACAAATATCATACTTCGACAAGAGGTGCGCTTCTTTTCCGAATACTTTTCAACGAAACCGGCTTGGTGAGCATTGCATCTATCTGAAATACAGAATCACAATTATCATTAGTTAATGTGAGAGAATTATCAAAATGATCACTTCGTGATTACTACAATTATTATAATCTAAGAAATAGAGAATTATAAAATTTAATTATCACTCTGTCATCAAAACAAAACAAATCAAAATTACGCAAAGGATCTCTGAAGACTTACTGAAACAAAAATAATGATGTATATTCAGTCACCTACGGCACTGATCAACTATGTCTTCACTCCAGATTATGAATTCACAAATTATCAAAAATATGAATGAAAATCAACAAATCCCAAATGTATTACTATGGACTTCATCAGTAATAATCTGCCCACAATCAGATACGAATTTCTAACGATTTCAGTATAATATTCAATCAACAATGACCTCACTAATAAAAACAAACCTTATTTTCGGTAGACGGTAACGCCAACTTTTTGGAGTACTGAAATAC